AGAACTTTGGACTGAACTGACTCATATTTATCCGCAAGTCCAGTCCATGTAAGAAGACTTAGCCCACTGCCTGGCACCTACAGTGTTCACTAAACAACTGTTTGAACAGGTCTCTTTTCTTAGGTAAAACAAAAAACTCTATCTCACAAGGATGTAGAATATGTACACTGAACCTGGAACTGGGTGGGTATTTATCATATATTTGGTAGGCAAAAACAATGCCTATTCCTCTTCCTGCATCTCCCTGGAGTATAAGGCTGACCATCAGTATAACTCAACACTTGTAGAACTTAATTCAACCAAAGAAAACCTCTCCAGATTACGAATGTTCTTCTGGTAGGAAAAGTACATACAACTTCTGTCCCTAAGGAGCTTATAAGACAAAGCAGGTAGGCACACTAGAAAGAGAATTGGTCTTAGTGTCAAAGACCCCAATCTGAACTCCACTGGGTATGCTTTTAAAATAAAAGCTAGTATGCTCTTGAATAACAAAGCCACATAAAAAGCAACTAGCCTGGGACAATTTTTTTCTTTCAGTTTGTGAACCATAACTCTGAAGCACTCTGTAGCACACACTATTTAGTTGTAACAAATATGTGGTTGTTGAGCATGAGAAATCACATTAGACTGAACCCTCAATGGTTAACATTCCAGTAGAATCTGCAACAGATGACAGCAGGCAAGTTCCAATCTTTGCTCCAATGTATATCAGCAAAACATGTCAAAACCTAAATTAAAAGTTTTCACTCACTTTTTTTTAAAGAAAATAAATCCTTTTGTTGGCAGTTTCCCACTGATGACATGCAACAATCTTTGCATATGAAATCGGCTGGTCCCCTGCTTCACTGCTAACTTTGTAGAAGTTCCAAAGCATTTCTGGAGCAAATGATCTATTTGGACTAACAATGCCAAGCTGGGACCTGAGCCCTGAATGAGCTAAAATTACCAAAGCAATAAGAACGTGGCTTTGGAAGCTGTTTCCCCTAAGTGTGGGGTTTCTTCTAGCTAGTTGAGGGAGTGATATAAAGAATGCTGACTTTTTCCAGATGAACAAAGTTGAATGAAACCTTAAAATCCCACTGCAGGTTTCTGTTCTGAAAAACAAGTTGCTGCTGCAGAGGTTCTTATCTCCCTGACTTCCCTCTCCTCAACCACAAAAATGCACCTGCCTTCCCAAAGTTCAAGAGTTAAACACGGGCATATCAGTGTAGACTATGGATGCAGGCACAAGGAAGCCAGCCCCCTGTCCTAGAGGAGCTTCCTGTCAGGCAGGAAGAGAGGCACATTCATGACTAATAAAAACAAGATATAAAATGCTACAATCCCTAAGCAAGGCAAAAGCAAAGTGAAAAGAGAGTTCTGGGGAGAGAGAGTCTCTCTTGGGGGCAGAGGGAGGAATAGGGAATGCCACTGAGGCAAGGTGCTCCCAATGCCCTTTGTCCACTCCTTTATCACAGGATGAGGGGGCTGGACCACAAACTTCTGTCACATGTCTATCTTCCCCACTAGAAGGTGAGTTTTTTGTGGGCAGAGGCCCCATATCAGACAATGATTAATCCATCCTGGTTGGCTCAAAGGAGTGCAAGAGGGTGTGTTCACAGAAGAGTAAGAAGTAGCACAGGTCTCAGGGAAAGGGGAAGAGAGACTGAGGCTGGAGAAGGAAGGTGGAGCTGGGGATAGAGCTGGTCTAAGGAGGGCTATGAATGCCAGGTTAAGAAACCAAAACTTCATTCAGTAGGCAATAGGGAGCTACAGAAGGTTCTAATGAGAGCAGTCAACTAAGACTATGTTTTAGAAGATTATTCTAAAAGCAGCTGGGAAAAGAGATTGGAGACAGGGTAATCAATTAGAAGACTGCTTCACTGGTTTAGATAAGTAAGAGCGGATGCAGGCATGAATGCAGGCAGTGATGGTGGAGCTGGAGAAGGAAAAACTTAAACTGCAAAGCCCACCTTGAATTGGTCCATTTTCTGTGCTCCCCCAGTGCCTGGTTTCTACCTTTATTTAACACTTACTTTGAGGCCCCCAAATTATATACTCCCTGCGGATGATACTCATTTTTCATCACTCCCTCCCCCACAGAAATCCTACATAGCAGAACATGAAAAGTCAATGCCTGCCAACCCTTGGTCTTGATATCATTTCAATCACAGTACCTGAGATGCATAAGCGCATTGGTATATTTCACTTAATACAGCACTGGGCCTGGCATTCAGTAAGGAGACATCTGACAACAAAAAAATTTAGCACACTCAAACAACAGTAACAGAGCACAGATGCCTAGGCAGAACAACTTAGAATTTTAGGACTCTAGGCACAGAGAAACCAGTTTGGGCCCCCTAAAAAACATAAAATTCAATACTATGAGCCCCAGTAGCAGGCTGGATTGCAGTTACATGATGGTGAGCTCTCCAAATGAGTAGTTCTCACTTTCACAACCTGCTTGGCAAATAAATGAGAGTAAGGAGAGACCACAGGTCAAAGGTAAGTCAAACTTGAGTTCTGTGGACCCTCCAAGAGGAATAGCCTTGGTGAAGATTTATTCAAGCAAATACCAACTGAAGAGATAGGCAGGGAGGAGGACAGCTATGTGTGCTCTGTAAGAGGGAGTTGGTAATGGAGAAAGAGCAGAATGGGCTTGAAAACTCAGAAACTAAAATTATACTTTGGCTTGAAAACTTGCCTTGAGCTGTAAGCTTCATGGATAGTTTTTCCATTTCCTTTCACTCCTTCCAAATCATGCTCTGTAGCTGTTGGGAACATCAGCTACTTTACAAAGGGGACTGCCAAGTGGGGGCCTGGCACCGGAAGACCTGTATTCCAATTCCAGCCTTGCCATTTATTAGCTGTGTGGCTGTAGGCAAGTCTCTGAGCTTTGGTGTCTTCATCTATGAAATGGAAATATTAACCACAGCAATACCTATCAAAATGTCACTTAGAAGACCAATGGAGATAATACACAAGCACATAGCAAGACTGTCAGCAAAGAAGGTTTTTTTTTTTGTTTTTCCTTGAATGGGACTATAATTTGATAAGTAGTGGTATACACCAACTACTATGGGTAGTAAAATGTAAAATCCCACAGCAGTCAGCTTTGACATTTCCTGAATATAAGAAGTATACTTCAAGACAGCTCTGGGATGGGTTGGGCCAACACTCAGTATACCAATGTACTTCTCACCAAAAGCCAGAAAGTTATGCTGAAACTACCTCTGAAACCATTCTATTGGTGTCAGAGAGATTAATTAATCAATTAATAGCTAATCCACAAACATAAGGCCACCTCTGCTTCCCACTTGAGAGGTTTCCTCCTCACACCTGGTGCCACAGCACAGTGGTATTTACATATAGAAGAAGCCAGATGAGCTCTTTGAAGTCACTGCAAGCAATTCTCAGAGCCACTAAGTTTAAGTCAAGAAGGGGTTTGAAGACACATCAGAGTTATTCCGGGATAAATGAATTCCCCAACACCCTGACCTTTTAGTCAGGTCTCTATCCAGGGCAGTGGCTCCAATGTAAAAATTACCCAGGAGACTGAAATGCAAAATGTGGTTTGGTCAACTTCAAACTGTCTTTTATTCCCCTTTCACCTCCCAAGATAGAAACTGAAGAGAGGTAAAGGAAAGTGTTTTCCAACTCATTCAAACTGGTACACTTCTTTGAAGCTACTCTGCCAGTTTCCAGATAATACCTGGGTTGTTTCGTTTTTAAAATAACCTCACAGATTTATCAACATTCTAACTTGTAGAATGAACAGTCTACAGGTTCGAAATTCATGAGGTTGGTGGGAGATGCCATCTGCCTAAGTGGCCTCTCTGCAGTAGCTGAAGAGTCAAGCACAGGGTATATGTATGTTTGCTGAATGAATGAGTAGATGAATAAACCCATTACACACTAAGACACACTGACTCTCTTTGACACACACACCACTTCTACTCTCCTAGGACCCTTCCAGATCTAGGAGTACAATGCAATCATCAAGAAGCATGCATGCATGCTTTTTCTTTTAGCAAAAGGGAAGCTAAGGTTACAACCTAGTTATAACTTCCTCAAGCCTATCCTCTTGGGAAATAAATTCCTAATCCATTCCCTCAGGTAATTAAAGGCAAGCAAGCAAACAAAATAAAACCTAATCAGCTATGAACGGTTCCGTTTTCTAAAACCTGCTTCCTCTCACTCAGTTTCTCTGGCCCTAGGTGTCTGGCAGTAGATGTGCCAGGGCTTCTCAGGGAGGTGGTATGGACAGAGCCTGTCAAAAAGGGTCCCAGTGCTGCTGGTCACTTTCCAGTTCTTCCATTCTTCAACTCTGCAAACCTATTTTCCAGAGACAACGTGAGGTGGTGGAAAGGAACCAGAGTCATGAGACTGAACTAACTTGCCATGAGACCCTGGGCAAGTCACTATGGATTGAGAGAATGTTGGGTTCATCTTTTAGGCTAAATGTGAGGAAGCAAATAAACTTGAAAAAAATAGAGAAGGTCTCAGAATTACAAAATACTAACATCTTCATTCAGTTTCTAACCCTTGGTGTTCCTTCTGGTGGAGGGCAGGGTGACTATTTGCCCACTTTAAGGTTCATTCTCCTTACCAGCAGCAGCTAAAAAGGTTGCTCCCCAAGACAGAGATGATACTTCCCTCTTCCTTGCTTGTCTAGACTCAAACTTCCTGGAACTAGCTGGGAAAGAGGGCCAGCTGTCTTCTCTTTACAAAGGAAAAGATATCTCAGCAGGGCAGGAAGAACTGGAACATACGAAGATAAAGGGCTGGTTTCTTGCCCTATCACCCACTAAACCTCAGTACCCTTGTCTATCAAATGGAGGTGAGACCAGCTGCCTTAGCCCATCTCTCCAGGTCCTGGCAGAGCAGAGATGAGAGGTCTGGAGTTATTATGACCCAGAAACTCTCTCCTGGCCCTCAGCTCTCTCACTCAGGGAGCCTTCTGGGAAATTCAGAAAGGAGAGCGGAGGCTGAGGAATGCCTTGGGGCCTCTACCTCCTTACTTCTGCCACCTGGCCAGGGAGGGGCAGGAGAGTGTAGTGTGGTGCCCAGTGCACTGAGGTTCAAGGCCTCCTCATCCTGGTCCAATGTTGGCTCAGATGGGACAAGGATGTCATAGCTTCCCTCTGTGAGGAGGGACTCTCAGAATATCTGACAATATCCTTCTTGCTCCTCACTCCAAGGAGGTGCCAACAGCCTTAACGGGAGAGAGACCAACAGCTTGAGAAACTTAAAGAGACAGAAAAGAACAGAGAGGGAAGGAACTGGGAGAGAGGTAAAGAGAAGGTGAGAGAGAGAAATGACAGTACAAACCAGTAGGAGAAAAAGGGAAAGTGAAGGAGCGAAGAAAACACAAAGAATCAGAAAGAGGAGGACAGACACAGACGAAGAGATGAAGACAGACTGACAGCGCGGGAGCGCCGGGGAAGCGGGGAAGACAAAGGGGACCATCCGGTCTTTTTAACTGGCCTGGCCTCTAACAGACACCCCGTTCCCAAATGAAAAGCCCAGAGGACGGGAGGAGGCGGCAGGAAGGACCAAGTTGTGGCTCCCCCGGCCCCTCCGTCCGGGCCCCCCGGCCCCTCCCGGAGTCCCAGCCCCCGCCCGGATCCCACCGTCCCTCCCCACCCGCTCGCTCACCTGCCAGCGCCAGGATCTGGGCCTTGTGGAGCAACAGCGCGCCCCAGTCGTGGGGGGCGGGCGGGGGGCTCTCGGGCCCGGCGCCCAGTTCCTCCGGGCCCCGGTACACGGCGTACACCTTCTGGTTGTCAAAATCCAGCCGCGAGCGGGGGCTGAAGTCGCGCACGCACGACACGGGCAGCGCGTAGCAGACGTTGTCCTCCAGGAACCGCACAAAGGCGTACATGATGGGCGCCGGGGGCGGGCCCCGGTCGGGCCGCTCAGCCCGCGGGGCGGGCACGGAGGTGGGGAGCCGGCGGGGGGCTCGAGCCACTCTGCGGTGCTGGGGGGGGAGGGGGCGGCTCCCCGGGACTCAGGCTCCCCCCACTGTTATTGTTCCTGAAAGCACCGCTCTGCCAATCGGCTGCTCTCGCCTGGGCGCGGAAAAGAGAGGGAGGGGGGAAAGGAGGACGAGAGGCGGATGAGGGGGGTTTGGAAGCGCACTGCCACTTGCAAAGTCAGACCCGAGCAATCACAGCCGGAGCGCGATTAGAATGGGGAGGGAAAAGGGCTCAGAGATTCAGTTGCAATAATAATAATAATAATAATAATAACAACAACAACAACAAGAGCATTGCAGGAAAAAAATGCATTAATTAAAAGGTGCGCTGCGAGCAGGATTATATTGCTTCAATGATCGCGCTGCCAAATTGCATTGCAACAAAACTGCATTGCCAAGGAGAGAAGTGTGTGAGAGAATGAATGCGGGATGGTGGTGGAGGCAATCTTGTTTGAATCTCAAAGTGTAAACTTGGAAGCCAGCAGAAGTTTGGAGTGTATTAAATTTAGCCACTCTACCTGCGCCCTCCACCACCCCCTCTTTCCCAACTCCTTAGTTGGGCCCTGCCTTTTCTTTGCTTCCCTTCTTTTTGTTTGTTTGTTTGTTTTGTTTTGTTTTGTTTTGCAAAAATGCCAGCTCCTGCAGTGAGAAGGGTCAGTCAGATAGAAAAATTCTCCCAGAGCTGCCAAACCAGTTCTGACCAGAACCGGGGCTTATCTGGGATTTCCAGTTGTGCCAGCTGGCTGGGGTGGTGGAAGGTTTGTCAAGAGCTGCTCTCATCTGAGGGAGCAGTGGCGCCCCTATCCTCTACAGTCTTTCTCCATTGAGGTATCCTCTCCACAGGACGCCTACCACTGAGCTGGGACAAGTTGGAATCCCAGAGGTAGTGGAGGGGCGCCCTGGGGAAGACAGGCCCAAGGCTAGTCACTTCTGGAGCACTTTGAGGAGTACAGAAATAGTACTCCATGCTCTTTGCTCTGTCTCTTGCCAAAGAGAGCCTGGAGGGGTCTTGGGTTCCCCCAGACAAGCCATGAGCACCAGCAAAGGGCTCTGTACTCATAGGAACCCTATCCCACATCAGAGGAGGTCAACACCTTCACAGAGACGCCTCTGAGGGAGTGGTTTCGTATCACATATAGCTAGTCATATTTCTGTTGCCTAGCCAGACCTGGCACTTGGCAGGGAATTAATGAATTTTGGGCAAAGAAGGATAAATAAAAACCCACATTCGCCCATCCATCCATCCATCCATCCGTTTCATTCATTCGTTTATTCAAAGCAAACCAATATTCACTGAGTTTACACCATCTGCCAGACCCTGGGCCAGGTGCTAGTGGTAGAGATGAAAAGATAAACACCTGGATTCCTGGGACTTGCAAAGTCAGTGTACCAGAACTTGAATCTCAGTTTTGGGTTCCAGTGCCAAAATTAGGTAACTGTAAGAATAACATCTTTCCCATCCCCACAACCCTTATAATCTAGTCTAGGAATATTAAAGGAGTATAAGCAAGTAATGGCAGTAGGATGAGAAAAGCATTCTCATAGAGGAATGCTTAGTGGAGGTGTTGGACTCAATTAAATGTTATATATTTTTAAAATCCATTTTAATAAACTTTAGCTGTAAGAAAAAACAAAGTAAGTGCACCAAGATATTCATAATGATTTTCTAAGTTTCTTAGTAGTGGCAGATGATTTTGTTTTTCCTTGTATTAATTGTGTGTGTGTGCATGTATAACAGTTTTCCACAATGTTTTATTACTTTATAATCAGAAAACATTAAACATTATAAAATCAAAGCACTATGTGCACATTTCACATCAGCTGCACTAACAATGAAGCACATATTTATTTCACTGTGATACAGGGAGTACATTATATAAGAGGATCCCATCAACATAGAGCTCTCACATCCAAATGTGTAGGTCAGTACAATTTTTTTTTTAACCAACCCACTGGTTATGTGGTACCAGCCAAAAATTACCACCACTTGTTCGCAGCTGTTGGTCTTATCCTGCCCCGCATGCTTGTGAAAAAAAGAGGAGCCACTCTGAGTTGTTCCAGCACATTTACTTTCATGATTATGATTTCTTTGGACTGATCTTCAATGAGTTTTTATTTTAAGAATACATTCCTATGGTGGTCAAGGGGAAGTAATGTGCAGCAAGACTTCTGATAATACACAAGATGGATCATGCAGAGCTGGTCATTATTTAACCAAAGTCCTGGAAGCTCCGGGACTTTGTGTTCCCAAAATAATTTCATGTAGCCTATGGCCAACCTCCTCTCTGCATCTAAATGGGGGTGACCCCAAAACATTACCTGTCTCATCTCCTACTACCTTCTCAGACACAGTACACTCCAGACCCCAGACATTTCCCAAGATAGCATGTTTTAGCAAATCTCGAGCTTCTGTGCTTGCTCTGTCTTCATCCTGGGAAGTTCTTCCTTCCTGAGTGCATGGTGACCTCAACTTACCCCGAAAATCAGCTCAAATGTCATCACCTTTGTGAAGCTTCCCCAGCCACCCACACTTCTCAAGCATAGCCCATCTCCTTCTACTACAATGTTTTGTCCCAGCAGTTTTATCTTCCCTCACTAGAATAAGAGCTCTTTGAGGGGAGACAAAGGTAACTTCAGCATCCCAGGTACCTAGCACAGGGCTGGGGAGTAAATGTTTATAAAACAAATGTATAAAAGAAGGACATAAGGAGAGCATGAATAACAAACCTCTTGCATGTTTTTTCTTGAAAGCCTGTTCCTCTTTTTTTATTATTATTATATTTTAAGTTCTGGGATACACGTAGAGAACGTGCAGGTTTGTTATATAGGTATACATGTCCATGGGGGTTTGCGGCACCCATCATCGACATTAGGTATCTCTTCTAATGCTATCCCTCCCCTAGTCTCCTCCCACCCCTCCCCAACAAGCCCTGGTGTGTGATGTTCCCCTCCCTGTGTCCGTGTGTTCTCATTGTTCAACTCCCACTTAGGAGTGAAAATAGGACACAAACACATGGAAAAAAACATTCCATGCTCTTGGATAGGAAGAATCAATATCGTGAAAATGGCCATGCTGCCCAAAGTAATTTATAGATTCAATGCTATCTGCATCAAGCTACCATTGACTTTCTTCACAGAATTAGAAAAAACTACTCTAAATTTAATTGGAACCAAAACAGAGCCCGTATAGCCAAGACAATCCTAAGCAACAAACAAACAAACAAAAACAAACAAACAAACAAAAAAACAAAGCTGGAGGCATCAGAGTACCTGACTTCAAACTATAGTACAAGGCTACAGTAACCAAAACAGCATGGTACTGGTACCAAAACAGATATATAGACCAATGGAACAGAACAGAGGTCTCAGAAATAAGGCCACACATCTACAACCATCTTATCTTTGACAAACAACACAAAAACAAGCAATGGGGAAAGGATTCCCTATACAATAAATGGTGTTGGGAAAACTGGCTAGCCATATGCAGAAAACTGAAACTGGACCCCTTTCTAACACCTTATACAAAAATTAACTCAAGATGGATTAAAGACTTAAATGTAAGACCTAAAACCATAAGAACCCTAGAACAAAACCTAGACAATATCATTCAGAACATAGGCTTGGGCAAAGACTTCATGACTAAAACGCCAAAAACAATGGCAACAAAAGCCAAAATTGACAAATAGGATCTAATTAAACTAAAGAGCTTCTGCGCAGCCAGTTCCTCTTTTTAAGAGTTAAAACTGAATCCCAACTCTGCCTTTCCCGTTCCCAGTGACTGGAGGGCAGAACACTGATTCTACCCCTTGTAAGACAGACACATTCATGAACATATTAAATATATATAAACCTCATCCTCAGGTTCAAACAAATTCCCTACCCATGTCAGAGTAAATCATTCTTATAAGGAGGCAGTTTCATTTTCTGAGAACCCAGAAAGAAGAAAAGAACAGACAGTGGACATGGATGCTGACAGAGTAAACACAGACTCAAATGCGTTTTTCATAGATCCACAGAATAGATTCTGGAGTAGTCACAACTGGCACGGGATGCTCAAAGAGATACCCTCGAACAGCACCAGAAAGACGTCAGTTTCTGCGTCCTGTGTGACTCACACATTCAGTCTATGGATACAGATTAATGGAAAACCTACTATGTGCCATGCTGTGCCTCTTCCACCCTACCGAAACCTGAGTAAGAGTACTTTGACTTGGAAACCATAGCCCTGGGCTTTATACATACCAGAAACTCAAGATGTTGATGACTTATTGACTGGTGAGCAAAGACAGTTTAAGTACAGATTTCAGACTTAAAGAGGCAATTAAAAACTTCAAGTTTAACCAAATCATTGTTGAATCCCTTCTTCAATATTTCTGCCAAAAAATGGGCATATAGAACACCTTTAATACAATTCTAATGCCAGGAAGCTTACTACCTCCCCTTAACTTTTAGACATTATCAAATGTTAGAAAGGTCTTTCTTACTTGCACTGAAGTAGAATCTTTAACCTTGTAGCAGCCATACTAGGTTCACCAAGACTCTCACACCTGCCCTTCAGACATGGTACAATTTGGAATCCTGTTTCCCAGCTCCTTGTTTGTCTTCTGCACAAACATCTTCGTTTCCTTCACCTGTCTCTCCTCATATGACCTGGTTTCAGTGATGATAATTGTAATAGCTACTTTTCCTCTAAAGCTTATAAATCGTGCATTCTAGGTACTGTGTATACGTGATCTCAGTTACTTCACACCAAATCCTTGAAGTGGGTGTTACTAAATCCATGGCAGAGTTGAAAAAATGGAGAACAATGGCAAAGCCGTTTGGCTCTGGGGAGCCCTGGAAGGCTTGTGGTTATATTTGAATTTTAGACAGTTTGCTCTAGAAGCCTTGTGGGGAAGGATTGGAGGGAACAAAAGTCTGGGGGGACAGAGGCCTGTGGAGAGGCTGACTGTCCTGTCTTACCCCTCCCCTGAC